TAAGCACTGTTCAAATCAGCACACTTTTGTCAATGTGACACCAGTCGATAAATCCCATCAAAGAAAAAACTGGGTGGTCGAGAATCCACGAAGGCTTTTTTGCCTGGTCCTGATTGATGAAGTATTTTCCAGCAAGGAAGTTCTGAAAATGTTTGAAAAGGTGATAGTCGGTTGGTGAAAGGTCTGGAGAATATGGCGGGTGAGGTAGAACTTCAACCCCCAATTCGTTCAATTTATGGATAGTGATTTGTGAACCAGCGCTACACGAGTGAGCAGTGACAGCCTGCAGGGGACTAAGGCAAATGTAAGAAGTGGTCGTAGCATTTTTCGTCCCACAGGATAGCCTTGCTAGGGCGTTCCTGTCGCTCAAGGAGAGCGCCGTCCCACCAAGAGCTTGGGCACTTAGGTAGCGCGTATATCTTTTGGCAAGGACTTGATAAAGTGGAAGTCCACAAGCCCGGAGTAGTTCCACTGTAATACCATCCTTGCTGGGCCTCGCCTGAAGCCTTGACCTGGTGAAGCTCGCGTGGTCTTCGGCGATTCGCCGTCTGCACAACCTGGATAGCAGCGTGTACTCTAAGTGATTTCCTTGGCGATCGATATTCCTTCGTTTTTCGAGCAGCGCACGGAGTAGAAGACGATATGCGACGAGTGGAGTGATTCGGGGCCACTTCACGACAGCGTTCTGCAAGCATTTTCACTGTTTCAACGAGTCGTTGGTAATCTTCATCGATATCGTCCGCCATTTCGAATGATTCTGCGCTCGCCAATCCTGCCGCTAATTCCGCATTCAACACTGTCCGGGGGCATGCTTGTCTTGAGCGCACGCGTATCGTTCGTATCAGGCCTCGATCAAAGTGGAACCGTGCTCGTAGAAGGCGATGGTCGCTTCCTGTGTTGAAGGAGGGAACAACGGCGACATCAGTTGCAGCCCTTCGATTGCACAGTATGTGGTCGATTTCATGAAAGTGCTGCCCATTCGGTGACACGTGAGTCCATCTTTTGGAAGGTGCTTTGAGAAACTGACTGTTGCCATGAAAGAGATGGTGCGATTCGCAAACAAGAGAAAGAAAGCGACAAGGTGATCCGATCTCACCCAATCTGTTCTCCGCATGTTTGGAATCCGTTATACGCCGCTGCGATTGGAACAGCTTTGGACTGAACATCGACGGTACTCTTCTGAACCATCTGATTCGCCGACGAGTTCGTCCTGACTACTAGCTCGCCAGAGGAAGCTTCGAGATGCTGAATCGTATGGACCAACAAGGGATTTTGTACGCTTCAAGCGATGAAAAACGAAAGTCATGCGAAATCAATTCGCCGGAGGTGCAACCGTAATGTTGAAAGAGAACCCAGTAGGGGAATACGTGTTCCTCGGCAGCCAACCAAACATGAGGAATGACTCAACTGGACTCAACTTGTTGAAGTTTATTTTGTTGAAGTTCTACAAAGCTTATGTTGTCCCCATACTTGAATATGGTTCGCAAATATGGAGTCCCCACACCAGGAAACTTCAGGCAAAAATTGAAAAGGTCCAGCAAAATTTTGCCAGAATTTCGATATATAGGTGCTACCCCAACACTGCATACCCAAGCGGTTTACCCACTTACAGGGGACGCGTACACCTTTCCAATCTCAAGTCATTAATGTACAGAAAAGTGTTTAATGACGTCGTGTTCTATTTCAAGATATTGAAAGGAGAGCTAGAATTGAAACCCAATAAGCCGACAAATAGTCGCTCTCTGCTGTCCTTGCTATCTCCTGGATTGCAGCGAACCAAGGTTTTTAACTCACTATTTTTCCAAGGAGCGAGATGGCTCCAGTCCCTGCCATCAGACTTGGAAAATATGACCAACATCTATGCGTTCAGAAGTAAATTGAAGAAGGTGACCTAATAAATTTGATAGGCACCCAACATTTCTAAGCGATTCAAGTTCTGTGGTGCTTTTACTTGTGTGTATTTCTGGTGCTGTATTTGGATTTCCCCTTTTCTTTTGATATACCACTTGATTGCTTGATTTTGCAACCCATCCATTTCCGCTGACACTGTAGTGCACCTATACGTGCATGGTAAATAAAAAATTGAAAAGGCTCGAACAACCGTAGAAAAACTCGCTGGAGAGTCTTCAAGAAAAAGGTGTCATGCCTCTTCGATAACTTGCGTGCTCCATTCAACTTAATCAACTGAACTTCGTATTTTTGATGGATTTTGACTACCGCCTGAACTTACAACACTCACTTCGTCTTTAGATCGCGGGCAATTTGCCTGTTTGTAAGAGAAGCTGAAACTGTCAAAAAACCCAAATCCATTAGCAGTTCTCGATAGGATGTTGATAGGATGTTGTTAGGTCATGTGCTTGACGTCTTTTCAGATGAGAAAATGTTGCCGACCTTATGACAAGGACTGCTTCATAGACCATAGAGTTGTTTGCCTACTCTGCACGTGTTCCACTACATACTGCTGAAGGTGAAACCGTTACATATAATCACACTACGTTCAACGTTCCTGAATCTCGGCAAGTTATTTTTCTTGGAAAAGTTCAAATCCGTCCCATGTTAAATCAATCTTAAAACAGGATCAAGCGCTATCACTCGAATTCACCCTTTCGTCCATTTTTTCATTGAGTGAAGCAAGGGAATATCATGGAGAAGTGTCGGTTCCAGTAGACGAGATTGGCCTTAATTTCAAAACCGAATTACTCACGTTTACTTATCAACTTATTTATTTATTCATGCGGCTCGCCTCGTATACAGTCCTCATCATTGCGGACCGGTGGGGCGTGTCAGCCAGTATGAGTGTGCACACTTATTGAAGCTTGTTCGTCAGCCCTTTTTGTTCAAACGGCTATGCGACAAAATAGTTTGGGTTTAGAAAACGAGTAATACGGAGGATATAATACAGTCATATCATTTGCTCGCTTTAAATACTGGTGGAGAGCGGGTTTGGCACCGCGCCAAACGCAGCCGCACTGAACCGCCCCGACAGTACGAACCGCCCCGACAGTACGCAATGATGAGGACTGTACACGCTGGGGAGTAGGCAATTACCGAGGAACTTACACTAAGCACCACGGAGACTGCACTATATATTTCCCATTGTACATGATTATACGCTTTATAATCAGCTCTTTTATTAAAGAATCCTAGCAGTGTTCGCGAAAAAAGTGGTCATGTGGCACCTGAAGACGTTGTCAGGTTCAAGAACAGTCCAAGCAAAGAAATATTTTATGAGACCATCTTTATTGGCCATAATAAATATAATAGTATTAATAAATTATGAACAAAAAGATGAAAAATGGAAAGACCGAAAAGAGCGAGACTTCCCTAAGGAATACAGATTGTCGACAAAGCAACGCACAAAACAAATGTAGCAGAACAAATGGCGACAAAAGTGGCGCGGTACCGGCACGAAGCTGCACCGCATAAAAACGTGCACAGCGTAAGGCGTTGCCTTCTAGTCATCGTGTAGCACACCACAGAGCAACGCGGACGTGTCGCGTGCGTTTAAAGATGTGAACGCGTCCGACTGTGGAAGAATGCACCACGCTACATTAAAGGCCAAGAAACAATATCAGTAATTGTGGAACACGGTGAGTATTGAGCGGCTATCAGTTAAACAATCAATGACGTCTTCTCTTTCTTCTCCTCGTCCTCCATTGGTGAATCATTCATTTTCAGGTCTAAATGCAAAACCGATGAGAAACGCTTTAATAGTCGGTGTTAGTTATGGGCATTTTTAGGTGGGTAAGGAATGACATGTGGAAAAGCGTAAGCGGATAATAGGTGAATTCTTACGTTTACGTCGAACACATGCAATGCCTTGAGTGTACGCTATAGGTGAGCATTGACAGACGCCCGCATGGCACAACGACAATCCTTCCGCGTTCCCCACACATTCCGCATCGATGAAGCATCGTCCGCCGATTGGACGAATGGCTGGAGGCAAATGTTTCACAGCCATGCATCCACACGTCACATCTTATCCGTTGAATACTCACTATGTTGCGAAGATGGTACGACGACATCATTTCCGCCGGGCGGACAGCAAAGGCCGAGACTCGAAACGCACTCGAACTCGGCACCACATCGGCCGTTGGCGAAACAGCCACTAACTGCGAGTTCACCGTTCGGACACATGCCTAAACGGCTGAGCATGGCTATCCGAGAGTCAGTGTGACAGAATGCGACAGAATCCGTGGATCACGCTCACTTTTCAGATTTGATCCATGACGCTGAGCAGGCGGACAACACAGACCGTTCTGACACTCATGACCGACGCCACATAGACCGTTTATACAACCGCCAGCCGGTTTCGAACCGTCACTGCATAAATTCGCACGAGCTAAAGCAGAGCCACGTGCGGCAACAAAAAATAAGTGTAAGTGCATGCAGGGGAACAGATTGAAAGGGGTGGTCACCAGGATTGTGTGGTATGAAAAAAATCCGGTAGCGATTTGTGATAGGTGGGAAAAGGAGTGGCGTGTGTGTGGGGAGGGGGGGGAGGCAATCAAAGAAGGCTTTGCGAATAAGGTGAAAACAATTCAAGAGCGCGGCGTCTTCATGATCTTAATGAAAGGGTTGGGGAACGATTCCATACTCAGCTACTGGGCTATGACCACTCCAAACACTTAAATAAAGGGATTCATTTAGTCAGGTCCTTGCAAATCAGAGAAGCAAGAATTTGTCTGACAGCAGTGAATACAACAAAATGATGTTCTAGATATTATGTTTGCCGCCTAAAATACTTCTCGTGGTTCTGTGGTCTCTTCAAATTGAACCATTTGGTCTCCAAAATGTTTTCAGGACAAACGCCTATCAAATCGCTACCGCATTCGACATTTCAAGGGTGCACAGTTTTGAAGTATAGCGAGTTGAAGCATTACGTGGCATAACTGTGAAGCGGTCGTCCATAGTTGGGCCGCTTGTTGAGTCGTGAGAAGGCCGTCGTTGTCGGACAGCAAATGTCAGCGTACGTATTACAAGTGTATCCCGTCTGACAAGCTCCATTAGTGCAAGGGCCAGCCTGCACGGCGGCTGCACACAGATTCGGCACTAAAATATAAATAACCATGTTCACACAGACTAGGCAAAGAAGAGCACAAGTTGTCCTCTGGGCTAGTGATGATAGCTGACCAGTTTGAAGATCCACACATACACCGTCGTTGGTTCCGTCTGCATTGGCACTGGACGGTGGATACACGGCCACGTAACCAACGGGGCACATTCCTGAGACAGCTGGTCCGATTTGGAATTGTGGATCCTGATAGTTGACGACTGGACAGCATTGTGGGTTCGTCGCATCATTGTCGCACGCGTAACCCACACCGCATCCAGCAGCGGTACATGGACCTATTCCCATCGAAGCTACAGCACAGTTGCCCTGTAAACATGCAGTTATCGCAACAATTAACACTATTTACACTTCATCGTTAGCAGTTGTGCTTGTCATCAAAGCTACGGCTGGCAACGTAGAACGCATTTGGAGCGAATGCCCGGACATCTGTTCCATAGCGCCACGAAGCGCAACGCCGTGTTCTGACCACTATCGCACTACTGTGTCCAGCAAATATAAAATTGCTGTCGCGATGAAGTATAGTGAGGAAGCCACTCTCTAATACTCTACGCTAAAGAAGCCGTGGAAAACATCCCTATTGATTGTAGCAGGGAAATAATCAATAGGCATGTTCTTCTTATTGTGTTACAGCTACTATTAAAGTTTCAGAGAAAGAAAACTCAAAAACAAAAAGCGCAACATGAGTATGCAGCGGTATTTTCTTGAAAGATCAGCTGACAATGAAATAATTAGTAATGAAACGACACCAACTAGATAGTAGCGGGCACACATTTGACTGTTTACCGTAGTAATCGAAAAAATGTAGGCCGTAAAATGCATTTGGTTGTTTGCCTTAGCTCATCGTTGTCATGACCCAGCAGTAATGCGTGCAACTTGGTCACACAACGTCACAGTAAAGCGGGGCGTGATCAGCGGGCGTGTAACGAGCTTACCCACGGCGTTTTCCATCAGTGGTTACTTTCAACATAAACTGAGCACTATTTGTAGCGAGAAAGCAAAAAAAAAAAAAAAAAAAAAAATAAGTAAAAAAAAAAAAAAAACCCGAGGTGGGCTCATTCTATCGGCCACGATTCCCTCTTCCCCCCTCCCCTCGCCGCCGGCATTGTGAGATCACTTGGTAATTGGGCTTAATATGGTGCGCTCATCTTGCCCAGCCCCCCCCCCCCCCTGACGGTGGGCGGGTGAGCCGCGCCGCGTGTGACTCGGCTGTGACGCGACTGTCATCGCTGCCGCGTCACAGCCGAGTCACACGCAGCGCGGCTCACCCGCCCCACCGGTCTGTAATGATGAGGACTGTAATCATCTAAGATAAATGCATCGATAGGGGTGTGGAGCGCCACTTTCCAGTTGCGTGAATGCGGTGAAGTATTCGTTGCAGACGGGGTGATGCAAGCAGCATTCGCACCAGATCCAATCCACTCAACGTGGCAGTGCTGAAGCCGGTCTACGGACAGCTTGAACACAACTCCTTTGAACGCGTCGAATTTGTGTTTTTCTCTGCTCTCTCTGGTCCGCGCGGGCACTTTATGGTCATTCCAGCTCATTCCACATACCAGCTTTTCGCTACTCCGGTTCCTCCCCATAAAAAAGCTCGTTTCCGCCATAGTTTCTTGCATGTCTCGATGTTTTGGCAGGCGCTGTCCTCATCTGTTTAGCGTTTCTTGGTTTCGCAACAGGACCATTCACAAAAGTTGGATATGTTGAGTAACCCGGCGAGCCGACTCTCCTAACACTCGCGTTTGCGTCTCTCAAGTCGAGTTGCTCTCTGCGCCTGTGTCTGTCTAGCCATCTAGCTCGGAAATACCCTGCTCTGCTAGTACATTGCGAGGCCACGACTGGAAGGGAGCGTTCCCACCATAAGCGTCGCGATCCCCCTACCAACTTGTCTGCGCGACCTGTTGCACGCGGACCAGCTTGATAAAACTGGCACGGCTCCAGGGGCTGGTCCTGAAATCCGGAAGATTCAAAATCACGCCAGCATTTCAACATCCTTTTGAGGGAACCAAGCTGCCGGGTAACCTTTATCTACAAGGAACACTCAAAAATAAGCCGCGAGGGTATTATTCATACTTCCCTCCTACTTGTTTGTATTGTTACTGCCCAACACTAGCCGCTTAATAGCCGCTCCACTTTTTTTGGAGGTGCTGTGATTTCCTCTCTTCGACCATCATTCGTCCGTTCATTAGGGTGCTGAGGTTCTTTTGCAGAGTACGATCATTCGCCGAGGATTTCTCGACGATGGTGAGTTTCAATCCCCAAACATACCCATAGCAGTCAACTTGAACGTGAACCTGTTCAGAAGGAAATCCAGCCATTGAAATCGCTGGCCGAAAAAGCGCTGTAAAAATTGGACCTGGGATTCGCGCGATCCGCAGTGCAGTATATTGCGCGACTGCAGCGGCATGAATTTCTTGGGTTTCTTGCATGAACGTGGTTCACAATGAAGCGGGTTAAGACTGAGGGACAACTGGATTCCCTGAGGTGACATCAAACTTTTCATTACTCAAGGAGCGCATAATTCTCCTTATGCCCTGCAAACTGCTTCCCATCCGAGTGGGGAACAATTCCTCAATAACCTGACAATACTAATTCAACGTGATAAGTAACGATAAAGTCACTTACCACAAGTGGAGTAGTTGCTGTCGATGGGCAGCATACGGTTCCGTTAAGAACGGTGCCAGTCGGGCAAAGACCATTCACTGTCGGAGTTCCTGCACTTCCGTCAGCACAAAGGGTAGCAACGTTGCTACAACAGAGACTGCCTTGCAGGGTGTAGCCTGTTGGGCAGAGACCATTCACTGGTGGACCGATTGGTTCTCCTCCCAAGGGGCAACCTAAACACAAGTTTTATGAAGCTGTCGCACAACTATATCCTTCTCGAATGCTCACTTGTGACAGGACAGCAGATGTTTCCAGTTGTGCAGGTATATCCTGATCCACAGTAGTAGGAGATCTGGACTGCTCCGCAGGCACCACCTGTGCAAGAGGGGATGCAAGCACCGACGGCCTCCGAGCCATCCAAGCATCGTACGGCTGACGTTGATCCACCAAGACAACAGAGACCGTTCTGGCAGGTATAGCCGGCTCCGCACTGGCCATTTACACAACCGCCAGCCGCCTGGTTACCATTCGGACAAACTGAAAATAAATACGATACTAAGATACCTGGATATTGCAGCCTATCACCAGTTGGAGATGCAAGAACAAACTTACCAAAGGGATTCTTTGTAACTGGTGTGGCGCAGCACTGGTTCTGAATACACGAGTAGCCGGTAGCGCAAGCACCGTTGATACAGGCGCCGACAGCGGGAGTTCCAGATGGGCATGCATCTTAACGAGCAAACAGTCAGAGCATGCAAGTTATAAACTCGTTAAAAAATTGTTCCCCAAAAGGTATACTTACACACTGGCATTTGAATCCTAGGAGCAGTATATTGAGGACAGCAGACATTCTGCACGCATGAGAATCCAGGTGAGCAGAAACCAGAGTTACACTGACCAACGGGATAGCCTCCTCCAGGGCACATAGGGGCTGCTAAATGTGATAGTTCATTATTTACTCATTTCTGCTTCTGACAATAAAAATACTTGGGTGTACTTCTACAGAAAAGGACGCCATGAGCCTCGGGATGGAGACCGTTTAGTGGAATTAAGCCAAGTTATGTCTGCTCGTCTGCATCCTCTCACCAATACACATTCCTTATCCCTCAGACGGAATAGGCGTATTATTTGAACAAGGCATATTATGAGCAACTAGGGG